GTGTGTGTGTAGTGTGTGTGTGTAGTGTGTGTGTGTGTGTGTGTAGTGTGTGTGTGTGTGTGTGTGTAGTGTGTGTGTGTGTGTGTAGTGTGTGTGTGTGTAGTGTGTGTGTGTGTGTGTGTGTGTGTGTGTGTGTGTGTAGTGTGTAGTGTGTAGTGTGTGTAGTGTGTGTAGTGTGTGTGTGTAGTGTGTGTGTGTGTAGTGTGTGTGTGTGTAGTGTGTGTGTGTGTAGTGTGTGTGTGTGTAGTGTAGTGTAGTGTGTGTAGTGTAGTGTAGTGTAGTGTAGTGTAGTGTAGTGTAGTGTAGTGTGTGTGTAGTGTGTGTGTAGTGTGTGTGTAGTGTGTGTGTGTGTAGTGTGTGTGGAGATTATTGTTAGTAAACATTGCATTGTGGAAATGATATCAGCCTTTGGTCTTGTGCAGAGGTAAGCAAATCGGTCACTTTGAGCTTCTTTGTGTTCAATTAGAGGCACCCCAACTGCACTAAAGATCAACTGCTGTCCCATCCATGAAGGTGGGAAATGATGCTCATGTTAATATAAATTTGAATAAGTAATGCTGTATATTGCTTTATTCTGATTTATGCCATGCCTGCATGCTAATTGTCAAGATCAAACAATTGGATGACAATAATATTGTATATGATGATTTGTCATCAAGGCAAATGTGATTTTTTGATTTATTTTTGAATATTTGATGAATACTCATTGTGCCCCAATAAAGAATGTACATATTACATACAACGTGGTAATATTCAAGACTGGCATGGTCATACCTTAGCATACTGCCCTTGGATCAAATAATCTGTATAAATTTGTAGTGTTTATATGTGTATTACAAAGACAATTTATTTAGCAAATTAAATGCTGTACAGAGCTATAAGATTGTAATAGACTTGTATTAGGGAGTTTTCAGTCAGACTCATCATTGATAAGAAACAATATTTTATCAAACTGTTTATCATAGAGTAAGGCTCTGAATTTCAAATAGTAATGATATGAATAGAGTAGCTCTTTGAAGGACCTTAGTGTTTATTTCTGGGAGGACTTGTTCAGTAACTGCCTGTTTAACAACCCAATTTTCCTGGTTGCTGTCAGTGATGGGCCACAAGGCTCATACCCACTTGGAGAGGCACAAACATCTTGTGTGGTGCAGTATGTCGTCCTTAGGCAGTTCCCCTTGGAACTTGGTCCTGTTTCTAGACTTCTCTCATCCTCTGCCTAACCATTGTTACAGATGCTGCTTTCTTTTACACCTTTGTTCACCTGTGGGTTGTGAGCTTCATTGTGCCACTTCGTGGGTGTTGGCTTTCATTTTTGGGTTTTCCTGGACTTTGGTTCAGATTGAAATTCCAAGTCTTTATTTAGAAATGCTTGTACATTTAAAGTTGGTTTAGGTTACACATTTATAGTCAGTTATTTACTCCAGAGAAAGTCATAACAACAACATGGAAATCTAATATCTGTAAATATATACTGTATACTCAAGATTTAGAAACCATGTTTGTAACAACTTGTGCAAATTATTACAATAATGTCCGAACTAAACAGGTGTACAACAGTCTCAATCAATCTTTACATTTTTGGTGTAGAGTGAGTAACATTTATCTTACAGTATGAAATATGATATGTATACAGTATATTAGAAAAATAAAGTGTAGTTCACTGTTAGCGCAGTAAGACAGACATTGGCACACTTTATATCACAGAAGTTGGATGATAAGACAATTTAAAAAACTAATAAACTAATCATTCCATTAAGTTATATAACAATTTCTACACTCTCATCATTCTCCATCAACAGATTCTAGGGAAATCCCAGATTAAAATATCACTCCCAACACACAGTTCATACAACATGGATCTAACTTCGGTAGGACTCAAAATACTTATCAGTAAATACTTATCAATACTTTGTGACAGGTTGCTATTCTTCTTTTACGCCGCCCCATTCTCTCCTTTCCTCGGGGGTTGGGTTTTGCAGGTGACTTGCATGTGTATTCGGCCACTTTGCTGGATGTTTCTGCTACAAATGGTGGGTCCAATACCATTGTTTAGTATCATACTCCTAATCAAGGTGGAAGCTCTAGTTAGTTGATCACCGAGGTGCATCTTGTTATGTCTTGTGTGCTCTGGGGCACTGCCACATGACAATTTTCAATGTTTGCCATGCTGTAGTCTGGTGTTTGGTATGGTTTGTCCTATCCATCCTCTTCATGGTACACCCTGGTTCTGGTGGGAGTGGGTCACTGTGTGTGTGTTCTGGTACAATGTATCATAGGTTCACCAGGTGGTTTGGGCTCATTTCCTCTTGATTTTAGAATGCCTTTTGGCATATCAGTTTAGGGTTAATGTAGGGACACCCCTTATATTCCTTCCAGGCTATGCTGTTTTGACCTATCCCTAGCCCCTCAGATCTTCCCAGACTAATTCGCATGACCTACCTCAGCTACTAGCAACTTTGGGCCTCCAGTCATTGGGGCCCTTGTTGTAAATGTTGGAGAAACTTGATGTAGAGATCCTGCTGACCAGGGATTTGGTTCTACTCACCTGTAATGTCCACCCTTTTAGGTGTGCATATTCATAGAGGTTTTGCTGGTACTTCAGTGTGTCTGTCTCTTGTGTGGAGCTTTGTGGTGCACCCCCAATATTGATCCACCCTTCTCCAGGTGATTTGGTTTATTTCCTTCTCCTTTGGGGCTGGTCTCAGAGGGTACCCTCACTTCTGGCTTCTTGAATTTGGTCTTAACTGCTAATCTTTTCTGGGTGCATCAACTGTTCTTGCAATTATTCTCTATCTTTCTGTTGGTTTCAACGTTATGGGAGTTGGACACAGCCTCCTTCCTTGGGCTTTTGGGCCACTAAGCCTTTCGCTTGTGAGCATATTTGCCTCCATGGGATGCAGTGGCTTCCAGTCTTTGGAGTGCTATTGCCAGATCACTCAACGTTCATGGAGAATGTATTTTGATTGGCATTGGGATATGGGCTTATCTCTTGCTGGTCTAGCAGCATCTTTCCATGTTGTGTAAGGCCCTTTGCACACTTTGTTACATGAGCTTCTTGGTGGCTAGTTTGACCCTAATTACCATCTCTTCTCGCCTGTTGTAATGTCCCCATACTTTCCTGGAATTCAGACTTTTTTTCCGAGGGCTGGTAAGGCACATTGGTTTTATTATTACAGTATTATTATTATTATATTATACACAGGTGGGTACATTATTAGATGGTTTCTGACTTGTAAGCAGACTAAGAGCTTTTCCTTTCCATAGATCATAGTTAGCGAGACTACTAATTTTCCCTGGAATATTATTTGCAAATAGATTAACAACCAGGTACCCAATTACTTCTTGATCAGGGGTGAACAGTTAAAGATTGATGCCCAGTCTGTCTGATGCTTCTTGGCCTTTTGTCCAATCTCTTCATTGTGTATGGCTCGCCTCTCCAGCCATTCTTCTCCCACAGGTCAGCTCAGTCTGCTTTTCCGTTTTTCAGAAAACGTGGCCGTTTTCATGTGTTGTTGATAGTTATGAAGTGCCCTTTTCTAGTAGGTTCCAGTGACTCCCCATCCCTGCCCTATTGCCTTCTGTCTCATGGAATTTTACATAGGTGGTGCCATAGGGGAAGAGGCAGGCTCTTGTGTACTCAGATGATTTGAGTTGCCATCTAGTGGTGGTCAGGCACACCACAGGGTATTTTTTCTACAGCAAAGATTGTTTACCTTATTTACCTAGGCGCACTTAATTTCCTTGAGTAGCCACTTACGTTGTGCCTATATCTGGTCATGGTTCTCAGTAGGCTATTGAAGGTTTTGGTGGCCTGGTGTCTTGGGCTAAGGCTTGTTGATGCCAGAGTCAAGCTGGGCTTTTGGCCAGCTTGACCAAAATTTAATTACATAATACAGTACAAAATTTATTTGAATGACATAAGATATGAATTATGGAGTTATGTAAGGATAAAAACAGCTGAGTAATAATAATCCGGGCATCTCCGTATATGAAATGTTTGTCATTGATGTTCTCCCAAATACACTACATCTTATCAAGCCTCAAGATGCTGCTTCTCTCTATACTTGGTGAACTAGCAATCAACTTTAGTCTGCAGGAAAATTTATATTTGAAATTTGTTCTATTTTAACAAACTTTCCCAGTGGGCACAATATCCAAGAGCAACACCAATGTCAATCCCACATCACTTCGATATTTGAAAGAGGTGCGAGGGTTGCCAAATGCCTTTAAAAGCTTTAAAAGTTCATTGAAATTAGCATTAACTAAACTGCTGTCTTGCTCAATATTCAAATAAGATTTTCATAGGATTTAAAATTAGATAATATTGTACAATTTGCTTTACATCATCTTTGTACTTGAGATTTTAGAAATTCCCTTAAAATTGTAACTGAAGTATGTAACACACACTGTAGTTTTGTCTGGCAAGTGCTTTAAAGGGCCTAGAAGTGAGCAGAGACTTACCAGGCAGTGTGTAATTACCTAAGTGTAGTTACAGGATGACAGCTACGCTCGTGGTGTCCCGTCTTCCCAGCACTTTGTCATGTTTTGAAATTACTGACGGTTTTGGCCGCCTCCACCTTCTCGCCTGAGAGCAGCTGAGTATGGAGAGCAGGATGTGCTCCCCAGTAAGTTTGTGTGTGACAATTATGCTCATTGCTTTAGTTATATTCAAAATATTTTGAGTAATTATTGAAGATTGGCTTGTACAGTAATTTGCAATGCCCTTAAGATTGTAAGAGTGCATACACTTGTATGCACTTAACAGCATTACAAATTAACATGTAGGCCCTTGATTGAGCATATTTATTTCAAATTCTTTCCACAACAAAAGAAAAAAAAAGTGTTTGCTAACCTCCCAAGTCTACTCTTTCATACTGAATGTTTTACCGCACAATCCCTCTGTTGCAGCTGGTAAACAAAGTTCCATTAGAGCTCGAGTCCACAACACTATCCCCGTATGACCCAAATAAACATGCTTGTGATATTTAAACAGCTAATATTAGTAATTATATTTATTAATTTTGTTTACAATCTCAATACTATACTGTGAAAAAAAGTGTTCACTAATTAGTATAAATGTGGTTTTGTCTTCTATGAAAATGATGTAGAGAATTGCTATACAGTACTTGTGATGCTGGCCAAGTGTATCTCCTGTATATTCCTTATAATGCTGTAGATGCTTGTTCTATATGTACAGTATATTTTATACCAGTATCAATAAATATGAATAAAACTACAATAAGTAAAAAATCTTTCAATGCAGCATTTCATTTTGTACAATACCTGTACATTGTTCGCAGAACAATAATGCAACACATTGTCAGGACTCGAATGTAATCTCTAAAAACACTTTATTCAGCGTCCATAACAAGTCATTCTTAAACTTTGTATTCGCTATGATTGGATTTCTCAGCAAGTTGCATCCAAGTAGCTACTGTATTGCACTCTTATTGATGTATATTTTATAAATAAAAAAATCACCAGTTTGGTTTTTTGCACCAGTCAATAGCATCCATTTTATAAGTTTTTTTGTTGCCACTTGTAAGCATAAAGTAGCTTGCATCCATCAGCAGCAGAAATATACCAGTCACTAGCAAGCAAATGACTTGTATTAGCCACTACCATGCTTGAAGTTTTTCATACAATGCATTTTTGCTTTGCAAAAATTTATCAAACCCAGTTAAACTAATATATGGATGCATCTACGGCATTATTTACAGAATAAAAGAGTCTTGTCGTGCCTTTTGTGCATTTGAATGGAATAATACACACAATCAACTGGCTGCCATTATCCATCATGCATATCCACATGCCCATATAGATGGAGCATGTAATTACTGTGTAAAGAAAAAATCAAGCATAAATGGATACATAAATATGGTCTCGTACACAAATATTATGATCTAAATTTAATTATAAAAATTATACACCTAGGGAACAGGTGTACCATATTGGACTAAAATACACAAGAGAAAGAGTTTAGAGAAAATGTTTGCTAAATCACACCATTACATGCCAAGGAAAAAAATGTTCACAATAAAACAAACTAACACCATTATGAATGGCACCTCAGTCTTGTCTCACAAACTGATATTGTAGTTAGAAGACAGATACAACTACATGTGGCTAGAGTGCACTGTTGTGCAAGGAAAAAAACAAAACATTTAAAATCTACATGGTAAAAGTCAGGCACAGAGCATAATGAAATGTTTACTTCTAGTGCGCTCCCAGTAGCTCACCGTACCTGGGTGCTGGTCCAGCCAAGCTTCAAGGGAGAAGAACCAGGCCTCGGAGACCCATCACTGCCTATCAAAACAAATTCACCAGGAAGCATAATCACAAGAAAACAAACAATTTCTTACAAAATTGGGCACTCAAGGTAATGAGACAAAGGATCATGCCGTTGGGTAAACACCTTTTCATTATGCACCTGACTGCCATTAGGTGAGTGACTGCCCAGGTCACCCAAGACTCCAGCCTGCTATCTTGTGACCTGCCCAAACCAAGCACTCCACCTCACGGGAAAGGGTACAAGGAAGTCAAACTACCGAGGGCCCAACCAGAAAAGTGCCATTATATTCAATATACTGGAAAATTCCTCCAGTAGTTCCATATAGCAAACACTCAACAGGGCCTTAGCAGTGGTCAGTATTTCTGAAAAAAAAAGGAGAAAAAAAAAAAAAAAAAAAAAATGTGGCCAGAGCTTATCCATGGGAGAGAGCAGTAGAAGAAAAGGGCCCAGTGTGGAGGGACACTAACAATATGCCAAATGTCAAAACAAGTGTTAAGCTAATCAAAGCCAAAGGCTAACACCTAGGTGCACCACCCAAGCAGCAAGAAAGCAAAGATAAGATCTGCTGTGACTGTCAAAACACAAATCAATACCCTGATTCATTTGTGTTTTGACAGTTTTGATGGGTCAGCTTGCCCATCGTTGAGAACTGGGGGCACATGAGCCAAAGCCCAAACTTGGCAGGAAAAATGGAAATTCAGTTTCAAATTAAATTTTCAGGGCAGAAGGAACAGAGGATAATGACCCACCAAAAGTTCCAAAGAGCAAAACAAAGGACCCATATGACATGACTGCCATACACACAAATTGAGGCAAAGGCACAAAGGAAGCTACAGCCTGTCTGATGCCCAAGAAACAGAGGCTTTGAAGAGAACGTGAGGTCAAAGCCACTGTCACAAAGGCTGAGATGTGTACATAGCCACAAAGGCAGAGACTGACAGTCATTGCCATAAGAAACAGGCCCATCACACTACCAGCCCCTTGGACCATCACACAGGCAGGCAGGTGTCTCGGGAATGATGGAAACTTCTTGGCTGAACAAACCTCAACTACAAACACATGACAAGGAAAGGCATAGGAAGCCACAGACAAGGACTATCACTTATGTAACCCAAGCAACAAACACATGAAGGACTAGGCATGATCATGCAGCTACTGCACTTGACATCAACAGGCCTCACAGTCTCCTGCTCTACCTGCAAGAAAGGTGACTTAACCTAAATCAGCTCATCAAGAAGGAACCTGAACTTTTCAAAGTATAATAATAATATAATAATATTTTATTTAGGAAAAGTACATACAGAGATGCAGAGTTACAAACATTCTGATTGATTTATAGATAGAGCTAGTACATACAATACCTAAAGCCACTAGTACGCATAGCGTTTCTTTGCGTATCATAGCGTATCTTTGGTGGGGCCAGAAAAATGCAAACCAACTACCAAGGAAAGGAACAGTGATCCACAGAGTTAAAAAAATGTAAGTGGTGTACACATAAAAGCACAATCATGAAGGAAAAGGGAAACACTGGATAAAGTTATGGCCCATTGTGGAACCAGTGTTCCAGGGATAGCCAATGCCACTTAGCCTAATTGTGAAGCAGAGAGACCTTGTCATATGAACCATGACCCTTATCCGTTTAAACTGTACCAAACAAGCAAGAAGGTAGCCTGGTAGGAGCCTCAGGTGGCCTAGGCACCCACCTGATACTGTACAGCCAGGTGTATCATGATTAGGGCATTTGCCCCTACAGCAACAATTGTTTGTCTTCTTACTTCCAGATATGTTATTTTTTCAAGTAGTTCCATGTTTTGTTGTGTTTATGCTTTATGGTGAGTTTTTTGCATTTTTGGACTGATCTCCGATCCTTGAGCTCCTCTAGCCTCTCGTAGAGGCAGATTCTGGTTGTTTCCTAGTAAGAAATGGTGAATCTCTGAGGCCTCTCAAAAGCTTGGCTGGACTAGCCAATGCCAGCGCTTAGCTATGGGAAACTACTGAAGGAACCCTCCCAGAAGGTTCCTTTCTGAAGAGGTTTTAACAAACTCATGATCTGTAATGTTAAATAGGTTTTAATTAATAGTTTTTTTGAGTAGTTAAACAGAACACGTGAAAGGAAGTCACAAATTTATTATACTGACCAATGGCTGATCTATAATTTTAGTTTTGCTAAATACCTAAAATTTTAGTTTTAACGACCTAAAATGTTAAGTTTTGCTGTGTAAAGTTTAACAGGGAGTCATGGATGAACATACCAATGCCATCATATGCATATATAACACCGTGCCCATAGTTAAAACCTGCACATGTACATTCCATAAACTCTTCAGTGTTAAAAGGCAATTACTGTAATGTATTTACAAAGGGTAATTATTAATTAGGATGATGTAATGTGATATATAAGGAAAATGCATTTGCACCAAATCCCATATAAAAATTGTTGAACATTGTCTTAAAAAAAAAGAAAAAGAAAAATTATATTTTAAATACAAAATAATATACTAATGGCCAACACCATGCAATTTCCCATACATGATATTTATAAAATTCTTTATGATGTTCCACAGTCACCCCTAGACATTCTCTATTCATACATGCAAATGTGGAGTATACAAGATATGTACGGACCAAGCTGCCGGTACTGACCACTTGGAGTGGTAGGCAAGCAATAATGGACAAAATTGGGTTTATCTTCACACACTTTGACTAGAACTGGTATTGGTAGTTAACAATGATTGTTTTTTGTTTTTTAAATTGCATTATTTATGGATAACTAAATCCTCCCTCTTTCTAAGCTTAAATTTTCATGCACATCAAGGTGCCACTAATTACAGTAGAGTATTTCAGGTTATTTTCTACTGCACCAGGTATTTTTTCCTTGGTCAAACTAAAGGAAATAGACTACAATGGAGGTCAAAATATAGTTCTCAAAATGCTTTATCATGAAGGTGGAGTTAATAGGCATAGGATGAAGTTTGGCTTTTAAATCAAAATATATTATATTCCTAAACATCTTCAATTTGACAAACACCAATTTATTATGAAAAAGTTGTGATAATTAGACACAAGTCAACCCTAATCTGAATAGAATATTTACAAGTAATATTATTGGCATTATCTGTATTATGAAATGCTGTGAATTCCTACTAATTTCAAACTTTCTCCACATTTGATATGCTTCAGTTCCACTCTTTGTCCTTCCCTAATATATACTTTATTGCTAGAGTACCATACAGTCCAGGGGCAGGGGGGCCTGTGGCCTTGTATGGTACTCAGTGCAGCCCTCGACACCAATTTAAATTAAACACTGAAAGTGCTTTTTAACATGTTTAAATGTATATAGCACATAATATAATGTGTGGTATATAATATAATAATATAACTTTTGCTATACATGGCTTCTGAAATTTTCATTTAGTAGCATCTTTATTGTAAAACCTGTCAACCATTAAGAGAGAATATAAAATATTTTTCCTGTTGCTTGATTTGATACATAGTAATCAATCCACAAGGTATTAATAATCCAGTATAAAGGTTTTCCAAAGAAATGTAGTCTATTCTTAACAGCAGCATCTGTCTATGGTACCACCTTGATTACTTGCTTCTTGCATTTAACTCTTGATCAGCCCCTTAACTTACCTAAGGCCACGCATCCTAAATTAGAAGTGCTCTTAAACTATTCCCATTATTTTCTCAAATAGTTTACAATGCCTTCATATTCATTTGTTTCTTCAGAGAGTAACAGTTTCCACAACTTGATGAAATCAATTCTCACTGGAAGGAATAAATTGCCAGTGCTAAGCCCAGCACCAGGCATCACACAAGTGCACTGAATATACTTACTAATATCATCCCAAGGTTAACACTTTCATCCACGACTCAGCAACTACAAATTATATAATTCGTGCTCTTGTTGCCAAGTCAAACTCATTTTCTCGGCCCTCTCCTACTAAGGCAGTCACACAATTCTCCCAGACGTATGGTTTCAAGCTACTGTATAACTTATACACAATGAAATCACAATAATGTGACATATCTATCAGAAAACGCAGACGAGGAGTCACAATAACGTGGCTGAAATATGTTGATCAAACCACACACTAGAAAGTGAAGGGACGACGACATTTCAGTCCGTCCTGGACCATTCTCAATTCGATTGTGAGAATGGTCCAGGACGGACCGAAACGTCGTCGTCCCTTCACTTTCTAGTGTGGTCTAGTCAACATATCTATCAGAAAATCTTTGGACCAGGACAGTGGGATCGAATCTACCGTATACAGTACCTTCATTATCTGGCTCTGCTAATCTTTCTCCCCCTGACCACTGATTTTCACTACTGTAAGGAAATAATTAATTATCAAAGCACTATGCCAGTATGGCTATAGAGCATCTGTATTTACATTGACATTTGAGATATTCTTACCATTATTAATATATTCTCTCTCATTCCCTACAGTTACTGGGATAGGGAAGTAGGCTGGGATCCTCTTCCCACTAAAGGCAAAAAAAAAAGCATCATTTTATTTTTTAATATCCAAATCTTTCTTGAATTATACTGTATTATTACCCTTTTATCCTCTGATAATCTTCCCCGCCCCCATGAGAGTAGCAACAAGGCAATATTACAGTATGATAACAATCAGACTTAATATTATTACAATAGTAATATTATTAGGAAGCTGTAAAAAAGATAAATGTGATTAAACATGTTCGAATGAGAATAGCAAATTTTCTCTTTCTTCAATAACATTTTATGTTGGCTATATATTACCTATTGAATTCATGTATTCCTTTCCACATTGTGTGAGAATCATTTAGCTGTAGCAACTGCCTATAAAAGTGGGCCATGTCAAAACTTCAGATATTCAACCCTTTCATAGCTTCTGTACATACCAGTACTAATACAGTACTATACTTTTATAAACTTTATTATAAATATATATAACAAGTTCAGTAATGAGAGGTATTTATATGCATTATAAAATTTAAATACAAACCCAAACGATTAACAAAGCTATCACGTTTATTGACTAAGATATTAATACTCTGCTAAATGGTTATAAATGTTAAAAACAAGAGGCAATCATCAGGAATCTGGCACCTTGGCATTCTTCATTACCCCTGCACTCTGGTTACCGGCGGAGCTCCGGAGGCGACTTGCAGAATGCTGCACATGGCTCGAGGGGGAATTTCCAGGACTAGCATGTTGTGAAGTGTTGTTGGTTACATGGTTATAGGTATTAGTCTGTGGTATACTTGAAGGGGGGTCGCCACCATGGTGATTGGCTGTGTGTCCATCTGTTTGCCGATTCCAACCCCCAGAGTGAAATTTGGGTTGACTCGAGTTTTCTGTAGGTCGTTGGTAAAACTGCGACGATGTCTTGCGTTCATTACTGTTGAATTTGCGCTCACTGCTAGTGTGAAGCCGCTCTATGGATTCTGAGAGCTGAGCAAGTTTTTCCATGAGTGTTCTCATGTTGTCGTGGGAGGTCCTCAGCCCTTCTTCAGATAATGGAGGGTACAGATCCTAGAAATATTAATAAATTACTGGACTGTAATACTAAAAATAAAGTATCAAATTAAATAAAATGCATCTTTCCAAGCATTCCCTCAGTAGCTTCATTGAGCTCAGATGCTTGTATGTTAAGTTTCCAGATCATACGAAGCTTCTCTGACTTTGAATTTTAATTTACTAATTTGGGTTACTCAATGAGGCTAGTGGAGTATGGGAATTGGAGATTGACTCACAAACTGTCTAGAAAGCCCAGAAAAAATAAAACAAGCCTCTTCTTGAAAACAAGAAATGAACCGGGAAAACAATGCAAATGATAGACGGCAACAGGTGAACAACGCTTACCTGGAGAGGGTTTCGGGAGTTCTTCTACACTCCAAGTAGGATGACCCGAGTCTTCCCGAGTCTTACAAGAGCAAGAACCCCTGCCTCAACTCACCCAACCACAACCAGGAGGTAACCTAGATCAATTGGGATCAATCTGCCACCCACCTCACTCATAAGCTATCACAATGGAACCCAAATCACCCAGGAAAAAAAATGAGTAACAACACTGGAAATTGAGAGGTAATTTGGGACTTAGGAAAAATTGTGGGAATTAAAAATATTATATTTGTTGCTTAAATAAGCAGGACTAAAACTCTTTATATCCATTTTTATATCCATATGCAGTTCAGTTTTGGTCACCGTACTATAGAATGGGTATAAATTCGCTAGAATGTGTCCAGCATAGGATGACAAAGTTAATCACCCAAATTAGAAACCTTTCATGTGAAGAAAGATTGACAAAGCTTAACCCTCAGACTGCACATATTGCTGCACATATTGGGGGGCCTGGTAGCGAAAAATATTCAAATTATGTAAAAATAACTTAAACATTTTAAAATCTCCAACTTATTGGCTTCAGTATCGTGAAACTTTCATTAAAATATTTTCAGAAATTGATTTTAAACAAATTTAAAAAAAAATAAGAACATTTTGATGATAAGGCAAACAGCTCCTAATAACTGGAACTGAAGGGTTATGCAGTAATAAAGATAACAGTCTCCGTGGTGTAGTGGTAAGACACTCGCCTGGCGTTCCGCGAGCGCTATGTCATGGGTTCGTATCCTGGCCGGGGAGGATTTACTGGGCGCAATTCCTTAACTGTAGCCTCTGTTTAACGCAACAGTAAAATGTGTACTTGGATGAAAAAACGATTCCATAGATTAAGAGATTAAAAAACGGACCATAGGATTAAGAACTTGCCCGAAACGCTACGCGTACTAGTGGCTGTACAAGAATGTAACAACTCTTGTATATATCTCAAAAAAAAAAAAAAACCTTTATATCATTGCTCAGTAATACATAATAACAACACAAATAATAATGAGTAACTATGTTAATATGCTCTATTTTGTTATATAAATCAAAACATTGTCCAATGTTAATATATATTACTTTCATCAATGTCCCAAAAATATTTATTTTTAGGGATTTTTTTTTTTTAAGATTTTTTCTTTTTCACCTTTGTTTATTATGTAATTATGTTGTAACCTTTACATCCTGGAGAACGCACATGTTTCCCTAACTATGTGAAGATAGAATGAAATTGGTCAACAAATAAATCAGTCACAACTCACAAAACTTGGGACTTAATTTCTTTTGGCTGATTTTTTCTCTGATTTCAAACTTTATTTTCTTTGTCTCTTTAGGTTGTTTTGATGATTAGGGACCATATTAGGGCTTTTCACTTATATAAAATATACCCTAAATATATCCCCTAAATCAGTATAATTATTATAATTATCCCTATATTTTGTGTTTTTTTGAGGTTATTTTTTCTTGACTTCATTTTAACACATATTGACCTACAACTTTCACATATTCGAGTACGAATGCCAAACAATGTTCATTAACACTTTCGCGCTTTAGATTAGAGATAACTCGTCGCCGTTTTCTCTTACGATTCCGCATAACAGCCTACTTTTCTCGTCCATCGAAAAAATATTTCTATAAATTCCATTTTTTAACCGAAATGGATGGGGATACTTTTGTTTTGTAGAGAATTTATTTGCGAATGTTTTGGTACCAGAACGAATATTATATCACATAAACTTCTATGAGTAAAAAAAAAATACACAAAGTATGTTTGGGGGTGTGGCGAGCGTATGGCAGTGGGTTCCCTTTAGCCGTTGATATATCCAACACGTGGGAAATATTTGTATGTGTTATGTATATGTCTGTGTAGGGAATTTTACTGCGATCACTGTCATACAAATTATAAAATGTTTCAACAAGTATAAACATGACAAACATCAAACGAACGAAAACAATGCGTTCGTTTCTGCCGCGAACGCATACTGAGCGACGTGGTTCTATATTTGGCGCTTCTCTTACACATGCTTTGTACAAATGTTATACAGTTCATCTTATAGAACATTTTATTGCGAATACATTGGTTATACTTTTATACTTTATTGGTTATACGAATATACTTTTTTATACATTGGTATAAAAAAGAAATACGTACATAGAAAAGTAGGGTCAGGAAACGTATAAACTTTCCAAGCATGATTTCCCCCCTGTGTTTTCGCCAGTGCGCTCGCGGCTAACTACTCTCCACTTCACACACTCTTGCAGGTGGGCAATTACCTATACAGTATTAAACATTCATATGCATATGTCCGTGTAGAGAATTTTATTGCGATTCCAATGATACCAAAATTAGCGATGTAGGACAACTGTAGGCTTCGCAACCATTAAGAGAGTGGAAACATTTTGTTGCTGTTTGGCGCTCTCGGCGAGTGATCTGCATAGTTTTTTATTTGGTGTTGATACTCCTTATGCTTGGGCGGCATTTTATAGGTATGCTCTTATAGACAATTTCATTGCGAACACAGTGATACCAAATTTAAATACGTGCGCCTTCAATTATTGTCAGGACAGTCAAAAGAGTGTACACTTTTCGGTCTTACCGCGTAGGCGCGCGAAGTGCCGAAAGCATCTGGGGTATTGTTTTTTTTTTGAGCGCCGAGAGCGCGAAAGTGTTAAAACATACAATTAAATTAATGAATTAAAACTACCTTTATTCATTGTTGATAACTTCAACTTCAATTATCTCTGAATAGTTTCAACATTGAGTGACTTCTAAAATTCCAGTTTTTGACCGATTCTCACTATTTTGACATATTGTGTGCTCAGATGTCTGTTCTGCAATCCCTTCAGAATGAATTTTTCATAAACTTTATACATTTGGAGTTATAATTTCTTTTGGTCTAAATTTGCTGCAAATTTCAAATGCCATATTGACGATTTTATTTAAAGTAAGCTATACTGAAAACCTATATTCTAATTTGATGAAAATGAAGATCATACGGTATTCTGAGAGAATAATAACATTAAATGAACAATTGGTATAGTTCATATTTTTTATTCTGAATTGAAAATCTGAAGTTTTCAATCTTCAATTTTATAATTAATTTTGAGTCTCTTGTTTTTCAAGTTACGCTGTGATCATCTAGACAAAGTTGGAGCATTTGACTAGTTGATTCTGCAAAAAAAAAAATTGGAAAGTGCTTGTGCAAGTTTTAAAAACTTATGTTCAATTATTTTATGTCAAATCATATATGTATTGCACTGTTTAAGGGTTAAATTACATTCTCTAGAAAGGCAAAAGAATTAGGGGTAACATGATAAGAGGTGTAAAGGGGATGAATGGACATAACAAAGGGGATATTAATAGAGTATTAAAAGTATCAACACAAGACAGAACATGAAACAAAGGATATAAATTGAATAAGTTCAGATTTAGGAAAGACTTGTGTCAGTTCTGGTTTAGTATCAGGGTTGTTGATTTGTGGAACCAATTACTGCGTAATGTGGTGGAGGTGGGGTCCCTTGAATGTTTCAAACGTGGGTTGGAGATGTATATGAGTGGGGTTGGGTGGTTATAAATAGGAGCTGCCTCGTATGGGCCAATAGGCCTTCTGCAGTTACCTTTATTATGTTCTTATGTTCTTATTTTAGATACCCAACCCACAAATCTGAAAATAAATTAAACGACAAACATTTTGGTCCATCCTGGACCATTATCAAATTGTAAGTGGTAGAGAAATAATTATTAAGGAATGAGAAAGAGAGAAATGAAATGTGAGAAGGTAGAAGTATGGGAATAAGGTTGAGATAAAGGAATAGATTTGATGTAAGGTGAATTTTGGGAATATGGTTGAAGGGAGGAGCCAGTCAGCCGAGCGGACAGCACGCTGGACTTGTGATCCTGTGGTTCTGGGTTCGATCCCAGGCGCCGGCGAGAAACAATGGGCAGAGTTTCTTTCACCCTATGTCCCTGTTACCTAGCAGTAAAATAGGTACCTGGGTGTTAGTCAGCTGTCACGGGCTGCTTCCTGGGGGTGGAGGCCTGGTCGAGGACCGGGCCGCAGGGACACTAAAAAGCCCCGAAATCATCTCAAGATAACCTCAAGATAGCATAGCAATAAAGTAGAAGCATAGGGAAAACATATTAGTAAAGGAATAAGGTGAAAAATAGGAAAAAGGTGGCAATAAACATTAAAGAAAACTGCAGACAGACAAATAAATGGTGAACCAGATTACTTCAGAGTAATGTGATTCACGCTGCTACTACTACTAGTCATTCCAACGCTGCTGGTGTTTACTCTATAGCCTGTTCTTCTTGTCCTCTCCAGTACTGTACTTAGGTGAAACTGGTTGTACATTAAATTACAGACTAAAAAGAACACAAAAGCAGTGCTAAATTTGCAGACACAAACAATGCTCTCTGTCATGTTAGGGACTCTCGATCATCCTATAAATTGGTTTTCTTCTAAAACAATTTTACCTGCCTCTACTCTTCCCAGATGCCATCTTGTTGAAGCAGCACTCATCCACAACATGACCAACATGAGCCTTTGTTGCTGCTGACTCTTCCCTATCACAGTACATCAATGCTCACCTTCTTAACATGATCTGGCTAAGCTTTAGCTATTCAAGGCTGTTTTTCCTTTTTTCTCTTTGTTGCTATCTCTCTTTTCACCTAATTCTCTTTCCCCATATGACTTTCTGCAGTGTTCTTCATTCTTTACTTCTACCTTTTTCTATATTTATACCTTATTCCTTTATTTCTACCTTTTTCTATACTTCTACCTTACTCCCATACTTCAATCATATTTCCATTACATGACTTGATAATGGTCCAGAACAGACCAAAATGTTGTCATTTCCTCAATGTTATTTGTGGCTTGAGTATCATTCCAATACTTCATTATTCTCAAACTTCATTTTACTTCAAACCCTACTCCTTTATCTCAACCTTATTCCTATATTTTCACCTTCTAACCTTTCACCTCTCTTTCTCTATCACTGTTCACTACATGACTTGATAGTGGTTCAGGACAGATCGAAACATTGTCAATTCTTTTATTTTCAAATTTGTGGGTTGGGTGTGTAATTTTCAGCCCTGTTATCCATGTTACTTGATGCCGTATCAGAGATAAAACAACTTTGCATAATACAGAAAAACTTATAAACGGTGAAGAATACCGGTTTGTGTACCTGCTCAGCTCCCACATCAAAGTGAAGTCTGGCTAGTTTCTCTTGCTGTTCCCTTATTGCTTCCATCTGTCGTAACCGGGAATCTTTCCCTGCAATTATAATTTATTTATTATACATCTTTTGTAATTCCTTAGTTATTTTATTTTATTTACTGTTCTTACTGGATACAAATGTGAAATATCCAGGATTACTAACTGGAATGAAATGGCGACAAAGACAAACATCACTTTCTTACACTAGCTAGGCACTGCATATTCAACATTTGTACTAATTTTAGATACCCCCTGTATCATATTGCTGTATCTTCTCTGGATGCTGTATAAGACAGTGCTTTAATTACTATTGTTGCCAACCACTTCTCCTATCCTAGGTGCCAGCAGTACATTGTTTAAGATACCAGGTGAGCCAGTACGCCTACTATCCTAAGTGTCACGTAGTATGTTGCTTAGGCTATCTAGTGAGTCAGTATGCCTACTACCTTATACTTAAAGTATACCTGGAGTGGGTTCTTGGAGCTCTTCTACTTCTTAAGCCCAGTCTGGAGCCCAGGCCTGTCTTATAATAACTTGATCTAGAAGGCTGTTAGAGCAGCCCACAGGCCCACATATCCATTACAACTAGACTGGTCCAGCACTTCCTGCAGGAACTTATCTAGTTGTTTTTCAACATGACCACTTTTGCTCTGGCAATGTTTCTTATATTTGTTAGGAGAATATTCAAGAGCTGTGGACCTCTCATGTGCACAGTATTCTCAGTCTGCCTATGGCACTTCTACATCTCCTTACATATTTTTCACTGAATTATGTTTGTATTTTGGTATGCACACTAGAAACCTGGCCTTCCAGCATCTTCTGCATAGATTTTATTTGATACCTTTCTTGTCTCCTCTCTAGAGTTCATTTTAAGTGTTTTGAGATGGTTCCGATAATTTAGGTGCTTTATCGTGGCTATGCATGCCATACATTCCCCATATTCCCTTTATTTCAGGTATCTCTCCTGTATTAAAAGAGGAAGCGAGTACTGAGCAGCACTCGGGGAGAGAAACCACAAATGACTGCAATAGTAAGAGCACTGTGATGCAATCCTGGATTTAAAGGTTCTCATAATTCACCTTATTATTTTCCAGTTGAGGATATGTTTAATTTGTTATGCTCATTAAACAAGAGGCCCACTGATATCATGATTTCAGATCCTTTACATGTTGTTTTCCTTCTATAAGATCTGACTGTCTTGTAACCTGTATTTTGTTGAAGTTCTTTATTCCTACCATACTTAAGTACCTGGAGCTTGTCACTTAAAAATATGATATTTTCATGTACTTGGAACATATCATGTACTAGGATGATACTCTGGCGCAGGGGTTTTGGGGTCTAACAAGGTCATGGCAGACCAGTATGTGGTTAATGTCCTGGCCCCTCATCATTCTTGTGTTGCTTTGGGCCATGTTTCCCAACCGTCCTCTTCATTTTAGTGCCTGCCATCTTTCCTCTCTGGTAAGTCTCCATAACTACCTAGCTTTAGGGAGCTACTGGAGAGAGGCGGGTTCCCAAGAAACCAGCATTTATTGTATGGAAACACTTCTGTCTAGTAGAGCCCTGGTGGCTCCCTGACACCCTGTCCAAACCAGTTGTGTAGGTTCATTAGTGTTTAGTTCACGCTTTCCTGGTGGAGTGGCGGAATGTCACTCACTTTGTGCATCTCTGCGAGGGTTGCCAGGTTCTGGCATTGGTCCCCAGCAGGCCAATCACAACTCCCCACAACAGATGTGACCTAGTAGCTAGGAGCAATCTCAGTGAGATAGTTTCAAGGAGCCACAGGGGCTCTACCACGAAGAGGCATTTCATTACATTCAATGCTAGTTTCTAGCAAACATTTTTACATGTGTGTGTAAACTAGAGACTAAAGTTGTTGCTTCTGACTCTGATACTAAAGTATAGTCAAAGCCATTCTTCCTTGCCCTGTAAGACTTTACATGACAGTGATTCCTACTTTAGATTAACCTAAATATAGATTGAAACAGATATAGAAACCTAAAATGGGAAACAAAGTAAATGCTGAATTACTTTTTATTCCAGAACCAATATACTAATGGCACCTTTGAAATGTCACTAAACACTGTCAGTTTAGCTTTACACTTTTAAGTTTCAATAAGATTTAAAACAAAGTAGACAAAGAAACTTGTGTTCATTGTCACAAAGTGAAGGACTGCTTCCAGAGAGACTGAAAGTCTCACTATCATTCAAGTGCTCAATGTAATTATTCCTCCATGTTACTGACTCAACCCATCTATGGGGTAGGTTATCTGTCTTGTAGATTCCACTTTACCTTTACAAGTCATCACTATATATCATGTGTCATACATTATACATGCCTCTATACCATTTCATATAAACTACTGTAATACATTGTACAAATAATGGCATTAAATTTAAACTATAGTGAACAACCAATGCTAAAATTCTCACCAAAAGCTCGTAGATTTCCTGTCTGGAAGTCTTCCATCAGCTGCAGGAGCCCTTGTTCAATCTGCCGCACATCTGCCACATCTGCCAGGAAGGTGTGATGCTGGATTGGCCGATCCATCTGACGGGCGTCTAAACCTCCCCTCATTCTGAGCCCTGGCCGCACTACTGGCCTGCTTAGCAATACTTTGGAGCCTAGATTCCCTCGGTTGCTTGCACCACCTCTGCCAGGTGGTGTAGGAAATGTAATCCCTAGGCTGTGTGGGGTAGTGGAACGTGCACTCCCTGGACCAGTTACGGTATAACTTGCCATAGGCTTAATGTGGCCTGTTACCCTAGAGCAAGCTCCAAGTATTTTAGCCTCTCCTCTGCCTGGCTGGGATCTAATGGAGGGTGTTAGGTTATTTTCCAAGTTTCCAGTCTTAGATTCTGGCTTATTTATTTGGAATCCCTTATTTACTGACCCCATAGCTACAACAAAGCCAGGAGAAGGTAAAGAGTGGTCCATCGGGTGTAGGATGTCTACGAATTGAGGAGCAGACAACGGTGAAGGGCGGGCGCAGGACAAGCCATGCAGACCAGTGCGGGGAAACAAATTGTCAGTAAGCAAACTAAATAACAAAATTAGCAGCAACAATGAGAAAGCAAAAAATGGAGAAACAAACAAGTGTCTAAATTATAGAAATATAAGCAATAAAACATTTAACGAGAAATTTATATATAACTCATTTCAATATTAAAAACTAGAAAAATTCAAATACTGTACTGTATACAGTATAACATAACTTAAACACTGTTAGATGTAAGATTAAAACATCAGAGTGTTTAACAATGTACTCAATATTTAAGGCCACCTTAGTAGGCACAAACAATCATCAATACTAAGACATATATACAGTACCAATCTGCTTAATAATACAGCTTTAATTTTTATTGAAGACTACACTTTATTAATCATACTGTATTCTGAGATAAGCTAGAACTCGAGAATAAATTTCTTCTACATCAAACACAAAATCATTTAGGGTAAAGTCACCTGTCTCCGAACACTTATAAAAGCTATTAACCCCTACAATGCAACTACAGTGTACCTGTATAATAACAACTGTCACCTCGCCTCTCTGTGAAAAATAAATAAAATAAAAACTAAATTGGTTCTCACAGAATGATACATTTACAGGCAAAATGTAAAAAAAATAAAAAAAATAAATCTATGTGTATTATGCTTTCATGAGCTGTTGGAGGAAGCCAGGTGGCAGGGTTATGGTGTCAACTGACACCACAGGTGAGTGCTGACATATTCATGCACGAGAAGAGCAATCAAATGTTCAGTTTAGCTCATATTTATGTTCGTGGCTTCACGTATTAGTTTACACTATAATGTTTGTTTTGAATATTTCAATTTTGTACAATATTGTTACAAACAGTGACTGAACAATGTACTAAAGGCCTACAATATAACGTGTACACCTATATTGCTCAGCTCGAAGAAGTGTCTTGCAACGCACTCCTTTGCTGCAATGTTACCCAGGCAAGGATTTAAACATTAGTGGGAAAGTTCGTCACATGGTGACCAAACCACATCAGGAAATAGAGAAACAATGATGTTTTGCTCCATCTTGGACCATTATCAAGTTATGTTATACTACACAACTTTGATAATGGTCCAGGATGGACCAAAACTCTGTCGCTTCTTCAATTTCTGATGTGTGGTTTGGTCATCGTATCTTCCACCATGTTATTGTGAATCATCGTCTGCATCAATTCATAATTTGCTAATATCCACAGAACAAAAACAATTACAAAATGAAATAATTTGTTCATGAGCTTGGGTTAACTGCATTGCATATATATATACAGATGCATTATAACCATATTGACATCACTGGTATAAAAACCATGCAATAATAGTGAAATTCAGAAAATGACAATGACCGCAGTAACCCAGGATAGCAACAAATGGCAATGACTGCAGTAACCTAGGATAGCAACAAATGGCAATGACCGCAGTAACCTAGGATAGCAACAAATGGCAATGACCGCAGTAACCCAGGATAGCAACAAATGACAATGACCGCAGTAACCCAGGATAGCAAAAATGACAATGACCGCAGTAACCCAGGATAGCAAAAATGACAATGACCGCAGTAACCTAGGATAGCAACAAATGGCAATGACCGCAGTAACCCAGGATAGCAAAAATGGCAATGACCGCAGTAACCTAGGATAGCAACAAATGGCAATGACCGCAGTAACCTAGGATAGCTAGGATAGCAACAAATGGCAATGACCGCAGTAACCCAGGATAGCAACAAATGACAATGACCGCAGTAACCCAGGATAGCAAAAATGACAATGACCGCAGTAACCCAGGATAGCAAAAATGACAATGACCGCAGTAACCTAGGATAGCAACAAATGGCAATGACCGCAGTAACCCAGGATAGCAAAAATGGCAATGACCGCAGTAACCTAGGATAGCAACAAATGGCAATGACCGCAGTAACCTAGGATAGCTAGGATAGCAACAAATGGCAATGACCGCAGTAACCCAGGATAGCAACAAATGGCAATGACCGCAGTAACCCAGGATAGCAACAAATGACAATGACCGCAGTAACCTAGGATAGCAACAAATGGCAATGACCACAGTAACCCAGGATAGCAAAAATGACAATGACCGCAGTAACCTAGGATAGCAACAAATGGCAATGACCGCAGTAACCCAGGATAGCAAAAATGGCAATGACCGCAGTAACCTAGGATAGCAATAATGACAATGACCGCAGTAACCTAGGATAGCAACAAATGGCAATGACCGCAGTAACTCAGGATAGCAAAAATGGCAATGACCGTAGTAACCTAGGATAGCAACAAATGACAATGACTGCATTTAAAGGCTTACATTCTCACAGGATTATAAAATAGTTACATTCAATTCATTGCATTTTTTTCTTATGAATTGAAAGAAAATGTCATTCCATAAAGTGACATTAGAATGGACCCAGTACATACAACATCCACGGGGATAATAAAACAAAACAGCATCCAGTGATTTGTAACAAGGCCAAGTCCCTGGACATCTTAGTGATGGTCCCAGAGAGCAAGACAATATCAACCATCTGTACTACCAGGGGTCCCGGCAGTACAGTCCAGTTTGTTCTCAACTCACAATCGAGAATTCCAGGCTCAAATCCCAGGCAAGACAGAAATGGTTGGGCGCATTTCCTATCACCTAATGCCTCTGTTCACCTAGCAATGCGTGGATACCCAGGAGTGAGTCAGCTTGTTGTGGGGTTGCATACTGGGCGGAGTCAGTAATTCGGCCTTAGGGGAGAGGGGGGCTTATATCGAAGGGGCCTCAATATAAGCCTAACGTGTATGATACACTCTGGCTGCCTGTCCCCTACACAATGATTTATTATTATTAATTTTTGCAAGGGAATTTTGCATCTATAACCATGTATACAGTATTATTGACTATATTATAACTGCCTTTGTTTCTATACTATTAAGTTACACTTCTAGAAAAACAGATCTGATTCCAGGATCTTTGCCATTATTGTCCAAAGATTAGTATTTGGGGTGTCAGGTGCCAGGTATCCCAATGTTTGAAGGTTTGTTTCTCTCGAAGTGCTAAGAATTTGATATTATGGGAAATGGTAGCCGGGTGTGTCTAGAGACTCACAAACGTTCAGTATCTCATTTTCAACAATGTCAACGTTCAGAGAATCGTTTTTTTGCAATTACCGACTGTTAAGGTTCAGTATTAATATGCAAGACAGCACACTGTGTTTGGTATGTGTTGATGGCATTTTCAATTAATTCAAAGTTACTGCACTTGGTCTTAGTGTCCATGGACGAGTAATGAGATCTAATGAGACTGGCATTCGGACAGCATTTATTACCCATAATGAACCTCACTGTGTGTTTAACCCAGTGGATTCCTACAGTTTAAGGACAATACATTTGCCTGGAAATGACAAATTTAAAATTAAATAAAATGTAACCCCCTTAAATTTGATGATCCGCCAAAAAAAAAAAATCTTATGAGTTTTGTAAGAACCAGGCACTGAATCATGTAAAAGTTAATATTATAATGTTTATTCTACCAGTTTTCTGCGAGATTTCTTTCATGTTTCAATATTTTACTGGACTATGTTTAACGAGTTCCAGTTTATGTAGGCTCTATGTGCCAAGATCACCAATCATACAGAAGCCAATAGTTGTCCGGACACCTGCCACTTTACCCTATTAGGAAATTCTTCTATAAACATCATTTAATATTAATATTTATAATTAAAAAAAATAAAATGCTTTAAAATATACAAATTCCTGGGCTATTTCAATAATGTGGTGGGGAAACAAAGACATCAAGTGATGGGTATGGGATGCACATCAACATACATGCTAAGATTCCAGTAAGTTACTCAGGGCTTTACTCAAGGAATAAAATCACAACAAATATTTGGTAAGCCTACAAATGTTTGGTAGCACACTTGCTACACAAGAAACCTTACATTGGGAAGAGAATAAAAGCCTAGTACTTCAATTACACGAAGATTCTCTCTTATTCTGTACTTGGTAATGATAATAACTTTATAACAGAAAATTTATCTTTCGTCAATATATGTATATAGAATTTAGTCTTTCACTACTTGTATACAATTTTCTTATACTGTATCTGTACATTCAAAAAATAAATAAATAAATAAATTTAAATAAATATATATGTATATGTATATATATATATATATATATATATATGTCATACCTAGTAGCCAGAACGCACTTCTCAGCCTACTATGCAAGGCCCGATTTGCCTAATAAGCCAAGTTTTCCTGAATTAATATATTTTCTCTAATTTTTTTCTTATGAAATGATAGAGCTACCCATTTCATTATGTATGTGGTCAATTTTTTTTTAATGGAGCTAAAATTAACGTAGATATATGACAAAACCTAACCAACCCTACCTAACCTAACCTAACCTATCTTTATAGGTTAGGTTCGGTTAGGTAGCCGAAAAAGTTAGGTTAGGTTAGGTTAGGTAGGTTAGGTAGTCGAAAAACAATTAATTCATGAAAACTTGGCTTATTAGGCAAATCGGGCCTTGCATAGTAGGCTGAGAAGTGCGTTCTGGCTACTAGGTACGACATATATATATATATATATATATGTATATATATATATATATATATATATATATATATATATATATATATATATATATATATATATATATATATATATATATATATATATATATATATATATATATATATATATATATATATATATATACATACCTGTATATATATATATATATATATACACACACACACACACACACACACACATAAGAGGTTGTTCTGGAAACTGGAAAATATTGGAGGGGTGACAGGTAAGCTTCTATCATGGATGAAGAATTTTCTGACTGATAGAAAAATGAGGGCAGTAATCAGAGGCAATGTATCGGAATGGAGAAATGTCACAAGTGGAGTACCACAGGGTTCAGTTCTT